CGATCCTCCAATATGAACTTTTAATAAGTCTGTTGAGGCGTGCAACCCGATCCTCCAATATGAACTTTTAATAAGTCTGTTGCGGCGTGCAACCCGATCATCTAATATATCCATTTCAATCAATTCTTATAGAAGAAACTTTCCCCAATAAATGCAACAATTAATATAAAATTATAAGACAACAAACATACAATAATTATGATTTAATTATGAAACAAACAATGACAAATAGCAAATTATTATGAAAATCAGGGAGAAAATATGCAGTTTAATGTTTAATATACTAAATGTCAAGTAGCAATTAATGCACATATTCAAATAAGCATGTAGCAATTATTATATGAATTCAAGAATTAATATTTGACATGGAATTATGAGTGAAACAATTAATATAATAATTCATTCATGATTTAAAATGATTATGATTTTTAAATAATTATGCAAACAATTAATTCGACGACGTATAGACACTCGTCACCTTGCCTATACGTCGTTCACATGCAATTCACACAACAAATAATTTAAGGGTTCTATTCCCTCAAGTCAAGGTTAACTACGGCACTTACCTCGCTTTGCAAATTCCAATCAATTACTCAACCACAGCTTTTTCTTTTAAATTTGTCTCCAAAGCTTCAAATCTATTCACAAACAATTCGATATATTTAATACAAATCATAGGAATTAATTCCATATGAATTTACTAATTTTCCGGATAAAAATCCAAAATTTATTAAAATATTCGATAATGGGACCCACATCTCAAACCTCAGAAAAACTAACGAAATCCGAATACCCGTTCCGATACGAGTTCAACCATACAAAATTTATCAAATTCCGATATCAAATAGACCTTCAAATCTTAAATTTTTATTTTTGGAAGATTTTAGAAAAATCTGATTTTTCTTCCATAAATTCACGGATTCATGATATAAACGAGTATGGAATCATGAAATATAATAAATATAGGATAAGGAACACTTACCCCAATGTTTTCCCGTAAATATCGCCCAAAAATCGCCTTACCAAAGCTCAAAAATGGAAAAGGGTTGAAAATGGGACGAATCCCATTTTTCAGAACTTAAGTTCTGTTTCTGAAACTTTTACCCTTCGCGAACGCGGTCAGTGCCTCGCGTTCGCGAAGCACAAATTTGTGTTGTCCAATTTATATTCTTCGCGAACGCGAGGGCTGCCTCGCGAACGCGATGCTTGCCTGGCTTGGCCTACGCGAACGCGAGATGCCCTTCGCGAACGCGAAGGCTAATTTTTCTGGTCAGTCTCTTTCCCTTCGCGAACGCGAATCTTTGCACCTCGACCCTTCACGAACGTGTTCCCTTAATCGCGAATGCGAAGCACAAAAAGTGCCAGTCCAAATTTCCTCTTCGCGAACGCGAGACTCCCCTTGCGAACGCGAAGAAGGAAACCAGAAGAAGATTTTTGCAATTTTCTCAAGTCCAGCAATGATCCTTTAACCATCCAAAATCAACCCGAGCTCTCGGGGCTCCAAACCAAACATGCACCCAAGTACTAAAACATCATACGAACTTACTCGCGCAATCAAATCGCCAAAATAACATCTAGAACTAAGAATCGGACACCAACTCAAAGGAAGTTTTCAAGAAAATTTTAAAACTTATATTTTCACAACCGAACGTCCGAATCACCTCAAATCAACTCTGATTCTCACCAAATTCGGCATACAAGTCATAAATATTATGGTGGATATATACCAGACTCCGAAACGAAAATACGGACCCAAGGTCAATAAATGTAATATCAGTAATTTCTTAAAAATTATTAAGCTTTCAAACTTTTAATTTTTCATCAAAATTCCATATCTCGGGCTAGGGACCTCAGAATTTGATTCTAGGCATACGCCCACGTCCCAAATCATGATACGGACCTACCAGAATTGTCAAAACATTGATCCGAGTCCGTTTGCTCAAAATATTGACCAAAGTCAACTCAGTTGAGTTTTAAAGCTCTATTTCACATTTTAATCTATTTTTCACATAAAAGGTTTTCGGAAAATTTTACGGACTGCGCACGCAAGTCGAGGAATGATAAATAGTGCTTTTCGAGGTCTTAGAATACAGAATTACTTATTAAATTTAAATATGAAATTTTGGGTCATCACATTCTCCACCTCTAAAACAAACGTTCGTCCTCGAACGGAGTTAGAAAAAAAAAGTACCTGAGCTGGTGAATAAGTGTGGATATTTACTCCGCATGTCCGACT